CTGAAAAAACCCACCTTCACCAAAAAAATTGAGCTAGAGACAACAATAGATACTAAGTTCAGACTAAGTGTCCGGTATCTAGACTATGTACTTACTTTCTCTTATATCTGCATTATCTTGCCACGAGCCTTCCTAGTATTATGTGAATGTCGTGGTAGTCAAAGGAATTGAACAGTGAACACATCAGGTGGATGACACTACTACATATGATACACGATGCTTGGGTTTATGTTGCGCACTTGGCCTGCGTGAGAAAATGAAGGTCCGGCTGATGTCTGTATCGGCGGCTGCCATGACCACAAGCTGAATTTGCACTATTCTGGCAAACCAGAGGTTAGTTTGTATGAAACTAGGTTAGGTTGCCCTGTTTGCCGGGGGAAGGGCTTGTCACACCTGGGTACACCCGTGCAGAATCCTATCCGTCACCCAAATCGGCTCGCGATAATTAGTAGAACAAGCACCCACAACAGAAACCCAAAACCCACACCCCAAAGAGAACATGGAACCTTCAGAAATGGAGGTCTCTCAGAATGGCCGCTGCCATCTTGGCTTTGGCTGCAACGCGAGCCGGAGGGGCATTTGTGCCGTAACGGACAATAAAAGCATCCAGGCTCTTGCCTGCCGGCTTAGCTTCAGCAATGCGAGTCTCCACCGCCTGCACTGTTAGCGGCTTATCGGCGGTGCCGAGAGTGGGACGGGGAGCGGGCTTTGACATAGTGCGCATGATCTGAGCTTCGATGGTAGCCGTAGTCTCTCCCTTGGTAGCGGCCCTCCCGCTTGCGCCCCCCCCCGCATCGGCAAACCCGAGGAGACATAAAAACACAAGCGCCGTCAGAGCAGGCTTCATGCTGCCAAAAACGGCCACTTGTTGAAGTCTGAGCAAGCTAAAGCTGAGCGAGCCTCACACACAACATTATCGGAACACAAAACCAACCTGCTACCGTGTGGCCACAAACACAAAACCCAGAGGAGAAGCAAAACCAACTCTTAGCATTAAAAGGGCTCTATCTCAGGGGCATCCACAAGCCTGCCCGATTGCGGCTTCGATGGTCCAAATCCCTGACAGCCCGCCGAACGCTGACAAAAACGGGGCCTGCTGCCGGCAAGGAATGTACAAGCGCTCGAAGCAAACTAAGTGGGTAGCCTTCCATACTCAACTCTTGAAACTCCTCTAGGAAACATTTGATCTGCCCATAGACTGGCAGCTCAAGTTCCTTAAGGCAAGCTGCTCTACCTAACAAGGTGGCCCGGAGTAACCCGAAAGGAAGCTGCAAACGACCTAAGAAAGGGCTGCCGCTGCCCCACTGTCTGTTCGGGTTCTTGGCTGCCCATGCAATTGCCCCAGTGTTCGGGTCGGTTTGGAAAACCACGTCGGTCCAAGTCTGCGCACTCTCCTCCTTGTTGATGGCAAAGCGTACAGAATAGATAGCTGCCAACCATTGTCCCATACAAGCATGGCACACGGAACAGGATCCTAGGAGAAGAGTCAACTTCAGAATTATCAAAGACCACTTTATCAACGGCGTTTCATTCAAGACTGCTTTTTTTTTGCATTTTCCTTGGAGAACGATAGGGGGCTCACTAAAAACGATACCCCTCTGAACATGGTTTGTGAACATGATGCATTCATTCACGTCTCAAGTGTCATTCTGCTTGCAAGCAATGTGGAGCTTTGAGCGGCGTGAGCGGCTCACATGACTACCGCAAGGCAGAGAAGGCTATTGTGTGATTGCTTGGCTCTCATAGCTTATAGCAAAATGTGAAAGTTTTCCGCAACTTGGCACACGCCCAGAACGATACCCCTGTCGATACCCCATCGATACCCCTGCAATGTCCCGGAGTTGCCAATGTGAGGCCTAGTGCATTTGCTTACGAAAGACAAGCACGCATCCTTCAGCAGACATCCTTCAGCACACACAGAAAGGGCCCGCGATGGGAAGAGCGCTTCGTGTTCAAAAGACTACGCATGTGGTTACGATGCAAATGCTGTGTTTGCGTAGAAAGTTTGTTGGGCACGTTACGAATTCGCACGGCGCCACAGCGAGAGCGCTTGGGCACGCAGGATTCCTGCAGAGGGTTCGGCGGGCACTTTTCAAATTCGCACGGCGTCACAGCGAGGGCGCTTTGACACGCGCAATCCTCGCAGAGGGTTGGTTGGGCACTTTACGCATTCGCACGGCGCCACAGCGAGAGCGCTTCGAGGCGCGCGATCCCTGCAGAGGGTTCATCGGGCACTGCGCGCACGCGCGAAGCGTGGAGAACGATAGGGGACTCACTAAAAGTAGAATGAATACACCCCACACAGCAAATATTGACGCTGGCTCTACATACCGCATTCCGAAGAACAGTTCCCGTAGTGTCCAACCTGTGGGCAGGTCTGGCAAGTTTTCGGCCCTCCTGCTTCGCCCCCGAAGAAAGTGTTCCTCTTCATGGGCTAAGAGGCAGACCGCTGCAATCATGGATAGAAGCCCTCCGATGACAATACCCCGTGCTTTGACAACAATGTCGCCAATCGTGGCAAAGCGCAAAGCACAACTGGCCAACATCATCCTGCGCAACTGTGCCATGGAGAAGACTACCAGTGATCGGGACCTTGTGTGCTCCGACCCTCCTGCCCAGCCTTTGACGGGACGGGATCTGGACTTGGTGATCGTTTGAACCCCTTTGAGATCCTGAAGCTGAGCCGCGTTAGCATCGAAAGCAGAGATGACCAAGTCAGTGTTAACCTGCTCGTACATCTGCGCGGCATCAGCCACTAACAAAGAGGTGTGCCACTTGTAGCCTCCACAAATGACACAGGTGTGCGCGCAGTCGGGTACCCGTAGCTGAGCAAAGTTTGGCCGTAGAAGCGGCACGACCTGCTTAAGCTTCCAAACAGAAAAGCCATCTCCTGTAGTGCAAATCAAAACCTGAATTGCACGGCCAGCCAACCGCCAGTCTCGGCGCCAAGGTGCCTTAAGGAAACAAATTTCCTGAAACAGCTGTGCCCACGTTGCTGACAGGTGTGGCCGCCAGCTGCCAGAAAACATTTGGCCTTCACCAAAGGGTACATGCATGGCGCAAAGGATCCCTGGGGCAGGGGGCCTCTTCGCAGGAATGCTGGGATTGCAAAACGCCATGTACCAAAGTGCTGAGCTGCCTCGGGGACAAGAATGTCGCTTCCCATTGTGGATCCAACAAGACCAAGGAAAGAAAAATCTCAGCCAGGCATGCGAAGGGCATAGTCCAGGTTGACTTCTTGTCCTTATCGTCTTGAAGAAGAACTTCGTTTTTCGGCGCAGTCATACACTGTATGTAAGCCGTTTCCTCAACCGGGCCTGGCCTAATAGGAAGAGCTGGGCGTTGAGCAAAATGCTTCAAACATGCTTGACTGGCCTTGTGCGAAAAATTCTTGTCCCGAAGCCACGATTTCAGATCTCCAGCCAGCTCACGCTCGCAGTGAACTAGTGCCTCGCGATCCATGATTGCCCAATTGCCTGGCAGCCTTTTGACTTCTTCGCCTCTGCGCCAATGCTTCACTTCAAACAAGCCACTCCGCCACACAGCCGCAGCTGAAATCTGCTTTGCCATCTGCACCGCACTGCGCCTGTCGGAAAAACGGGGCGCAGTACAGGAGGAAAAGCGGACTCGCTGCATCACCCATGTGTACAGGACCTGGCCATGCTGCCTTGCTTCTGACACTGCGGCTGCCTTGATCGCCAGTTGCAGGCGCTGCTTGGCGTCTGAGCTAGGACATTTGAACCAATGGATTTGCCTCCCTGGCAAGTTGAACCTGCGCAGAAGCTTGTCCACTTGGGCAAATCCATTGCGTTGCCGGACGTAGCCGTGCACATCCGTGCACCCAAGAGATCAGACGCGCCAAGCGCAGGATCGCTGGCGCCACGCTTTTCCTCGCCAGCAGCTGCCGGGCGTCTACGGCAGCGTGCTTGCTGCACGCCCATAAAGCCAGCAGGCTCCCACAGCCTTCAGCATAGATGTAGAGAGGTCCTTGCATGCCTCTTGAGGCATAAATGGATTGCTGCTTGCGCCTGTAGGCTTCACGGAAGCTCTGGCGTGTCCATGCTGGTAGCAAATGGCCAAAAGGGAAATCCCGTTTCTGCTTTGCCATCTTGATGATCTGGTCCAAACAAGCTGGCTGCCCCCACAAAGGCAAGGAAGCCCGTTGGCGGAATCGCGGAGGAGGACGGCTTCGCCTATTCCAAGGTTTGTCAGCTCTTCGGGGCCGGCAGTGTCCAAAATTGCTTGTTGGTCGCAAAGTGCTTATTGCAACCGTCTCTGACGCCCTGATCCAGTCATGCGGCCCTCGCTTCACGGGCAAGAAGCAATTGCCGGAGGCTGGTTGCTGCCGTAGAAGCACCGCCCTAACTGTACGTGAGGCCTGCGCTCCTTTTCGTAAAGCTGAGGTTAGGTGCTCCATGATCCGGCTAGGGACCCCGAGCTGTGCTCCCTTTCTTTGTAGCAACGCCTTGCCAATGTACAACGCACTGCCATTGAAGAGAGCGTAGACACAAGCCTCTTCCATTGCTCCGAGCCCTTCCACGCTATGCCGGAGGAAGAGAATAGCTTCAGATACAAACTCTTCTGTCAGCTCCTGCTGTTCCAATTCTCCGCACCCAAGGCTTTCCGCGATGTAGTCGGCAGCGGAGCAAACCCTGAATTGTCATGATGGATGCGAGAACCAAGGCCAGCGTCACGCTCTGCTTGTGCGTCCGCATGCTTTCTGGAAAAAGGGTGCTCAACAAACAAGCCTGCATGTGCCGAAAAAACCAAATCAAAGCCACAATGTCCTGTCTGCCCAAAAGGGCAGAACTAGCTGTCAGCCAAAAACTGTCCAGCAAATGTCTCGCATCTAAAGTCCCTGCTGGACCTCCTGCCTTCAGAAAAGGCCACATCAGCGCGAGGTGTTGGATTGTCTCAGTCTCGAAGCGCATGTCTGCCGCAAACTGCAGCACCAAGATGGAAAGTATTTACCAAACAATATGGAAACAGAAGGGGCCGTCATGGGGCCTGCGTTTTTGAAGTACAGTAAAATCATTAAAAAAACAGAAAAAACAGAAAAAAACACAAAAAACAACAAAACAAATCGTGGAAAACCGAAAAAAACAGACAAGCTCAGGTAAGTCACCTCCTTTTATTTCCCCCTCATGACTGTTGTTTGGGGCTTTCTTCGAGGAAACCCAAAAAACCAAAAAAACAAAAAAAAAACAAAAAACCAAAAAAACAAAAAAACCAATCTGGCAGACAAAAGCTCAGGCAAGCCACCTCCTGTCATTTCCCTCTCAGGATTGTTTTTTGGGTTTTTTTTGGGTTTCCCGGATTGTTTTCCTCTGTTGCACTTCTTGCTCCATGCTGCGTCTGGATCTGCATCTACTTTTCCCTCTTCTGGTAGCCTGCTCAAGTAAGTCTCAGCTCATTCCCTCTTCTTTCAAGTAGTCAGGCTCTCGAGGCGGAGGATATGACCGTGGACCATCTCAGGGAGGTGCTCGATGGCATGGTTTGCAGGAACTCCACCAGTCCTATTACCTTGCCAGAGCAACCGCCTGGCTCTTTCAACCCGGTCAACTTCCCCTGTGCGGACTTGCTCCACACAGACAACGCGAGCGTGCACCTCTTCGATGTCATCTTCAACTACCGCAAGGAGATTGACTTTACCGTGTTGGAGCGCGAGTACAAGCGAGCCATTGAAAATGAAGATCTGGACCTTATTTCTGCACCCTTCGGCTTGCAGAAGAAAGTGTCTTATACCATTTGGAAGCACTTCATCTTCCCCCAGAAATGCAAGGCCCCTCTCTTCATGAAGCTCGGCTTCGGAGTTGCCAAGCGCGCCATCTGGATGCAGGAGCCCAAGCTCGGCAGAAAGATCGTGCAGTACTGCATTGAGACCATGGGTGGTCGGCAGTTCAAGTGTGCGGAGCTGTCGAGCAACGCCATCGTGAAGTCCAAGACTGTTTCCTCATTCGAGGACAAGACAGATGAGGAAGTGGATGCGGGGTTCGATTTCATTTTGGCACATGGCCCCAGGAGCTCATCTGAAATGCAGCAGCTGCGATGGATGACAAAGGAGTTGCGCCGGAAAGCTTCTCCCATCCATGGATGGCCTCAGGCCTTGGTTGACCGCGCTCTTCGGAACTTGGCTTCGGATGGCGCTTTGGCCCGCAAGGAGTTCGATTGGCCCATCCCCTTGACGACCAAGTATTACCATTCCTGGCTCTTGGAGATCATGGAGGAGATATGGGACTTCGATCTCTCAGCCTTCACCATGCTGGGGGAGGCGGGCGCGGGAAAGAGCCCGTTGGGTAGGAGCGTCCTGATGGCACAGGTGCGCCACAACAAGGCGCGCTTCAACTTGTCGGGTCAGCCTTGTATCCGCTCTACGCCGGAGATTGACTTTCTTCGTGGCGAACAGGGGTCCGTGCTCATGGGCAATTTCCTGGATGACACATCCTTGCACATGCTCCCGATGAAGTTGCTCAAGGCATTCCTGGATGTCGGGCTCTATGAGAGCATGTGTTGGGCTCGATGGGGTGCGACAAAATGGGTTCAAAACGAACCTCGTGCCGTCGCAGATAACACCTATGATGATGGTGTTTCCGAGGAGCCTGCGTATGCCAACACCGTCAGCTTCGAGACTTTCTTCAAGCTCATGCGCCCCAGCATTGTGGAAAGTGCCACTCTCGCCCACATGGATGCTGTCTTCAAGAGAACTTGCATCTTGCTGAATACGAAGACTCACGTCTACTACAGGAAGGCGGGCATCAACACCGAGGCAGTGCCGCGTGTGTGGGAGATCAAGGCGGAATATCTCACCGAGGAGGGCAAACGTCTATATGGTCTTCACAAGGGTGGAACCAAGGAGATCACAGATGACTTCGTCGAGGAGGTGAAGAAGGAGCAGCTGTGGGTGGAGGCGGTCATGCACAAGCGCTTCGCAGAGAGGAGTCGCAGCAAGGAGGATGAAGAGGAAGATGCCAAGCGCAATCGGATTCGGGAGCAAGTTTTCGGAGAGAGGCCAGCGGCGGCTCCTTCGGTGACTCAGCAAATGCAAGACAAGCAGAAGCGTGCCCTTGAGAAGTCTGCAGTGTCGGTCAAGAAGGAGAAGTTTGAGATGGAGCAGGAGGGGGTCTTCAAGAAAGCTAAGACATGGAGCTTGAATATGCAGTCTTCTGGCAGCGTGATCGACTTGGACTCTTCCCCGCAGAAAGTCGTGTCACCTTCACCTGTTGCCCCAGACCACGCTCAGCCAAAGGAAGCAACCAGAGCAGCAAGCTCCTTGTTGCGCAGCCAAGAATCCATAAAGAGATGGACCAAGCAGCTGAGGAGATGGATGAGGCCTGGCTTCATCCTGCTGGCTGCGGTGCTTCGAACGAGACCTACTCGGAGGTGTGCCTTTGCAATTCTCTTCGCAGCCTTGGGTGCCCCATTTCTTACGACAAGAATGGCCCGTTCACTGCAGCTGATGGATGTGAGATGTTGGCCCCCTTAGGTGCCCCTTTGAAGTTAGTGTCTACAAACAGCAAGCTGCAGCCAGGCAAGTTTATCGTGCTGGACACAACAAGAAGCCATTTCTTCGCTGTCATCAACGCGAACGGGAAGGTGCAGAAAGTCGACGATGGCATGCATGCGTACATCTCGGCGGATGTCTTTGCGGAGTTCATGAAGAGTCCGATTTTCCATGTTTTCAAGCTGACCTTCATGTGCGCTGGTGCCTCAAGCCTATGCCCTGCTTTTCATATTCCCGGTGGCGCGCTCTCCAAGCGTGTGTACAGCACACACATGAAGAGTTGCTCGTGTGGACACAAGGCTTTGTCCAAAGCTCATGACATCGAGACGGTCGTCTAATGAGTGGTCCATCTGATGCAATCGTCCGGACTATGCGCTGCGCAGCTTGGGGTTGCAGGAAGACCTACGGCCTCAATTTTGTCAATGTCGATGGATGCAAACTGAACACCGCCAACCCGCAGGACATTCAGAAGGTCTTGTTCGTGAACGTGAAGCGTGGCTTCAGCTTGGAGTACTTGCAGTACCACACCCAGCTTGAGTTCCGTGCATTTGTTTCATCCAGAGCCATCCAGGATGTGTACGAGAATGTCCACGGCACCGTGGATGATACGGACTTCACTCGCTTCCGGAAGGCTCACGCAGATGCAATTATGTACTGGGCGGCATTGCAGGAGTTGTCTTCCCTTGGCATCAACCAACCCATTGAGATCGGCAACGAACTCTCCGAGATCTCTTTGGCTGCGTATGACAAGCACCTGCACTCCAAAGTCTTCCCCCCTCGAAACAAAGCTTCTGTCACAGAGCTAGTTGGCGATGGACATGCCAAAGTCCATGTGAAGTGCTCTGAGGTTGCGCCGCACCAAGGCAAGCCCCGCAAGAATGGAAAGGGCAAGCCGTACGGGCACGGGTGGTTCATGATCGTCGACCCCAAGAACTTGCAAGTGCTTTCGGTTTCCTGCATGAGCAAGCCAGAGAACAACGAAGTTGTGAAGGACTCACTGTTGAAGATCTTGCCCATGTACAAGAAGGTTAACTGCTTCGTGCTGGATCGGAACTGCGCCTTCATGCCGCAAGCCATGGAGGTGAAAGAATTCAAGCAGGTGAAGTATTGGACCATCGACTGCTTCCATGCCACTGGGCACAAGAAGACATGCAAGTGCAACCCTCTGCATGTGCCGCGGTTGGCCAAGCGGTTGAAGCACGTGAACACGTCTGCGGCAGAGCAAGTGTTCGCGTGGTTTCGGAACTACGCACGTGTGCTGAACGAATCCTCTCCTCTCCGGCACGCCTTCAAGGTGCTCTACTACTGCAAGATGCATAACCAAGCGATCCGCAACAAGAAGGCCACGTACATCAACCAGCACGGCCAGCAGAAGCGCAAGCGTGTGGCCAAGCCCTATCAGTGCTCCTCCGTCTACAAGAAACCGTCCGCCAAGTGAGAGCAGTTTTGATTCAGCCTAGGGCATCTTCAATCTCTTTCTGTCACTAATTAGGGTGACATAGCATTTGATTTGGCAACAGTCCAGCAAACAAGTCTACAAAAAAAAGCTGCCTTGCACAAAGACATGCCCGTGTGTTCTGGCTCCTTGGTCTAACAAAGAAAAACACAACATAAATACAAATCCTGTTTGCACCACTAAAGGCACTACACTGGAAAAACACAGGCCCCAAAAGGCACTACACTGGAAAAACACAGGCCCCATGGCGGCCCGCTCTCTATGGAAAAGGGGGAGGCAAGCCAGAGCAACTGCGTTGTCGTCAAAGGCCGTAAATGTCACTGACGCTTGGCGCCAGGTCAACCCGGACTCTCTGCCGCGCCAGGTCAACCCGAACACGAAACAACGTGTGCAGATGTCCACTGGAAAACGCACGGAAGGTTCGTAGAAGGGTGGCAGAAGGGCAGGTTTCATGAACAGCCGGGGCAGTGTATGGTTTCAAGCGCAGTTGAAAGCAGAAACACGAAAAGAGGTTGGGCTAGCGGAAAGGCAAGTGCCATGCATCCTGATTTCGGCGAGTTTCTGGTCCACGCTTTCCATGGGGTAAGTCTTGCAGACCTGAAGCCCCGGCGTGAGCAGTCAAGGCCCTCATCCAGACGGTCGTTGGGAAGGGGCGCAGAAGCTGAGCTGATTTGTGTGCAGATGAGAGGCGTGAGGGGCAGGTGAAACGAACAGTGCAGCTTCTGATCTTAGTTGCCCAAAGCCGACCTTTTGACCTTTTGGTTTCCCTTCTTGGTCCATGTCAAGGTTCCAAGAGGTTAATTTTCTGGTTGTTTCTGGATCCTGGCACTGAGCGGTTTGCGCAAAGGTGAGATTCATCTAAGGAGACGAGCTCATAGTGGCACCATGGCTCGCCAAGGCCTGCCTGCCAAGCTAG